AGCTGTATGATTTGCTGAAGTAATCTGAGAGTCTGCCTTGTGTTTTTGTTTCCTGTTAAGCCTCTGGGATCGGAGTACTATGACTGAAGTGAAGGCACTAAATGTTGCAATGTCAGTGAGCAGCATGGAGTATGTTCCAGAAGGACAGATACTTGTGATAACCTATGGGAAGACTATTGCTTTTCATAGTGCAGAAACGTGAGTACAAAACACAGAATTTTCACAGGTCGAGTAATGGGTTTGATTGTGGGTAAAACTAGTACAGGGCCAAAATATGAAAGCGGCAGAACTGATGTGCATTGATATCTTCGCTTGCAATCTTGTCAGAAGAAGCGTAAAACCACTGTCCTTCTCTAAAATAGAGGTCCCTAACTACCTGTGGGATGGATGCTAGGCTGTAAAGGTTCAATGCCATTTTCATAGTTCAAACCAACTGTAATTGTCATTAAATAAGAGCTTCATCCAGGCTTCCGTTTAGTGTGCTTTTCAGGGAACTAGGTTGTTATTTATAAAGGTTGTTATTTATACAACCTTTGTGATGTCTTAAGAAAGCATGTTACACTCGTAAGCATATTTCAGTAAGTAGTTCTGAATCTGTGAGCCTTTTGTCTTACTTATTCTAGTTGTTTCTATGAACTAGTTGTTTCTTAACTTGATGGACTTGACTTGCAGGTACTAAAACTTGTTTTGGAAACTGTGTGGGTGTCTTCTGTTTTTCTTAAAAGCAGTTGTGATTTGTAGAATCAGTTTCTTTGCTTTCAGGATCTTTATTTAAAACAAAAATTCTCCCTCAGTCTAGAGCAGATTAAATCATTTGAAGCACCTGCTACAATCAATTCTGCATCACTTCACCCGGAAAAAGAATGTTTGGTTGCAGGCGGTGAAGATTTTAAACTCTATAAATACGACTATAACACAGGAGAAGAATTAGGTATGGTTGCCTTCTATAATAGAAAAATGAGTTGTGACGTAAGTATTAGATTAATGATGGAGGCTAATAGATGAGACTGTTATACGAGGTCTTAGCATAGCTTGCTGTGCAAGACGATGAAAAAGTATGTAGTCATTTAAGAGTTATTTTTCTCAGTACATCTAACATATATCTAATGTTATTGTTCTAGATCTAATTAAAACCCTCATTAAACTGCTCTTTGTACCTATTGGAAAAAAAAAGTTGTCATTCCATACTGCTTTATGTTAACTTAAGTGTCTTCTATGGCATTCATTATGTCAAATGAGGCACAGCTACTTGGTTGTGTGAAAAATGTAATACGTTTGTGTTCTTCTTAGTGTTGGCCAAATATAGGTTTTTAAGTGTATTTTTAACTTGGTCTGTTAATCCTATCCTCATAAAATCAGATGTATGCACAGTGAGTGGTTGAAGGAACAGAATTGTATACTCTATGCTACTGGCTTGTTTTGTACTTTTGCCTTGAATTTGATTTAAGCACCTGTTTTATTGTTTAGCATAGCATTAATATCCTATATTAATATTAAATCACTGGGATACCAGTTATTCTAAACTTTGTTTTGCATCAGAATAAAATACTGGGAAAGTGCCCCCATCAATACTTCTGTTTTCTTCTTCTTATCAGTCTTTACCAGTTAACTTCTGCTGTTGACTGATACTTGAAATTTTGTTCTTTCAGAATCTTACAAAGGACACTTCGGTCCAATTCACTGTGTGAGATTTAGCCCTGATGGAGAATTATATGCCAGTGGTTCAGAGGATGGTACGCTAAGGCTGTGGCAGACAACAGTAGGGAAAACCTATGGTCTTTGGAAGTGTGTAGTTCCTGGTAAGTGCGTGTGTTTTTGTGGTAAAACTAGCTGTTTCATATTCAGTTCTTAGGTAATACCTAGCAGTAACATCTCAAGTGGTATATAACACCTGAATTTTGTACAGTATCTGTGCTATCACTTGAGGGTCTTCTTAGCCCCTCAGGTTGGTTGGATTTAAGGTTTTGCTTTTGTAGCTGTGATTTAATCAATTAATTTCAAATCTTTAAGCTTGATGAATATAGACCCTTTGTGTCTAACTAAGCAAATGGTCTCATATTTTGATGTTAAAGAACAAGAGGTATGAAGTACTTTTCTGAATACTTAAGGACAAAAGAATCTCTAGAAGGAAGTGTCTATAATAGGCTTATTTCATATTGCACTTTGGTTCTCTAGAAAACTGGAAGGAAGTAACAATTTATGGAATTGCTTACCCAGCTTGTTCTCCTCAACACTACAGTGTTGTTTTTTTGTTTGTTTGTTTGTTTGTTTTTTGTTTGTTTTTTTTTTTTATGATTTATGTTGGTTGGGTAAGTGAAGGTATTAACTATTTTTTCTCTTCTCTGCAGAAGAGGAGAATGCAGAAGCAGCAAAAGCAAGGACCAGTCTTCCAGGAACTGCAGAGGAGGAAATAGGTAATGCACTGAACTGCCAAGTTCCACTCAGCTAGGTGTTAAAAGATGAGTCGAGATGGTAGAGTTCTTTAGGATGGGAGAGTTAGTTTTCTCCAGGTACCTTCTGTCACTTTTCACTCCTCTCAGAAGATATCGAAGTGCATTTTTCTGAAAATGACTATGTGTCGGGCTGGTGACTAGAGCTGTGTCAGCCTGCAGACTGAACAGATGTGGTAGAATAACTGAATCAGGTTAAATGGGAAAACAAACCAAACTGGTCTTTAAAACAGGTGCTGCAGCATTTCTTTGGTTTATATAGGTAAGGTGAAATTAAATAATACCCTCTTTGTTTCATAGCCGAAGAAGTTGCCTCTGAAAACTCAGATACGGTGTACAGCTCAACTCCTGAAGTTAAGGCGTGATTATCTCAACTGTTTTGCAACATATGGACATACAAGACTAAATCAAGTGAGCAGTGAACAGCAGCCTTCCAGAGTGCGCTCTCTACATAAGGCAAAGATGGGCAGTAATTGATGAGAATGCAGTGGAAGTGGCTAGGTGTTGTCTGTAAGAGAACTGAGTATCCAAAAAAAGAAGACAAGTAGTAGGGTTTTGCTGTCTTTTTAGCATAACTGCCTACTGTCTTTGGAAAGAAGCGTGCAAACCAAGATCCAGTCTCTCCAATTTCAATTAGACTCATTGTAGTGTGTTTTCTTTATTATGGAGAAGAAATATAATGGCTTTTACCTTTTTTTTTTTCTTGAAAATTGAAAGATTTGGCTTTAGTTGAAAAGAAGGGGAATTAATGTACTAAAAGTATTTGGTTGGGTTTTTGTTTCATTGTACACTGCTTCTGAATGTTTAACTGTTTTCAGTTGTCTAAATAAAATGCCTCTCAAAACTCCTATCTTACTCTTTAGCCTTGGGTTCATGGAATAGAAAAGCAGCCAAGTTAATTGTGTAATCCTTTCTAGCATCTGTTTTTTTGTACTATACAGAGGGAAAGCAATAAGAACGTTTTAGTGTTCAGTACAGAGAGTGGCAAGTTCTTGATGTGTAAGCCTTGTGTTATTTTATTCTTTAAAGTTTGAATGTAAAAGTGAGTCTAAAATCAAAAGCATTGAAAACTACTAAACTAAATGTGCTGCCTGAAATACTTGGTTGTACACAGAAATTTCAGAGGTTGGCTATGAATCTGTGTAAAGCTTGGGTTTAGTCCTCTAAACTGGATTAAAAAAAGTTACTCTCTCCAGGTCAAAATCGTATTTTCTTCATTAAAGAAAATATTGCCATTCTTCCACTTGTCACTTCCTTTGATGTTACACTAAAGGGTTTACAAAATGTGCTTTGTGTGAAAAGGAGAAATGTTACATAGGTACATTTAGGTGGGTTCTTGTTCTTACTTTCTTTAGGATTTTTGTCCAAAGGATTACCAGTAAAGCTAAAAAAAAAAAAAAGTTAAAATTTAAGCTTAACATTTGAAAACTTGGATATAAATTGTGCAGTGGTAATTCTATATAGAGAAAATACTCTCACAGTGAGGGCAGTCAAACGCTGGGCGCTGGGAAGGATATAGAGACTCCCTTCTTGAAGATACTGAAAACCCAACTGGATTTGGCCCTTACGAAGCTTTGCGTGCTCATGTAGGGGCCTACGATTCAGTAGGTCTCCAACCATCCCTTCCAGCTCCAACTACTGTGGTGGAGGTGGAAACAGTAATACGGAGGATAATAAAGAATGATAAAATGAGTCGTGGTTTCTTAGTAAATTATGGTGTAATCAAAGGTGTGTTAGTTCAGTGACAACTCCAAAGATGATTTTGAAATATTTACTGAAACTTTATCTGAATGAGTACTCCTCTGCTTTACAGCTAATAGTTTGATTTACTAATCTCTTAATTCTGTTGAGGCTTATGATGATTCCAAATCTCGTGCTTCAACCCAGAAGCTTACTTTACCAGTTGAAAAGTGCATTTAAAACAAGGAGCTCTCTATCCCTGCTGTAGTCAAACTTCTTACAGAGAGTGGTCTTTGTGCTGTTTCAAGTAGGCTGCTCAGCACTTCAGAGGGAACTCTGGAACAGCATTCTCAAATCTAAGAGCTGTGACCCTTCACAGCTTTACAAGATGCTGTTGTAGTTGATGGTTTCTTTTCTAGCAGTGAATGAGTAGGGCTAAAGTTGCAAGAAGTCTCGATACTGATAATGCTTTATACTTCTTTTTCCTGCATTTGCATTGTTGCAACTGTAGGGGAAAAGCATAAAACGCGTGGTGTTGTCAGGGACTTTGTTTCTACATTTTCATTTTGCCAGGTGTTAACAGAAAGCTTTACCAAGTTGGTAAGTTTATACAGAGTATGTTCAGTAAGTGTTGGAGGAGCATGAACTGCACTATGAACTCGGAGCTGGCCGGACTCCTTGTGGGGGCTGCCGGGCCTGTAACACAAAGCAAAGGGGCGGTGGTCTCGGTGCCCCGGCTGGGGGCTTGCCTAGGCAAGGGTGGGCTCCGTGCCGGTGGCCCGGCTACCGGGGGCAGCGTGGCGGCATCTGCCTGCGCCTCTTAAAACATGGGGGGCAGTCAGGTTTCCCCCCTCTGCTCCCCGGGCTCACCGCCTCGCCGGGGCAGGGCACGGCGCGGCCCGGAGCCGCCCGCCCGGTGTCCCCGCCGCTTCCTGCCGCTGCGGGGCGGGACCGGGGAGGCCTCAGGCGGGCTGGAGAGCCGCCGGTAGCGCGGGGCATGGCGGCCAGAAACCCGGGCACCGAGCTGGGTAAGGGTCTGGGCCCGCGGGGAGGGCAGGGCCGGGGGGAGACAACGCGGGGCGGCGGCGGCCCGGCCTCGGGCCTCCCCAGTAGGAATCTCCCCCCGAGGCTGCGGGGCCCCGTGGGGCTGCCTCCCGTCCCGGCTGCCTCCCGTCGCGTCTCGGGGGCTGCGGGGCTCCCCCTGCTGCCCCCAAAGCGGGAAGCGGGGCCCCGTGGTGGAGGGGCGTGGAGCAGCCGGGCTGTGCGCCCGGTGCCGGTCAGGCTTTCCGCGCACGCTTGTTTCAAGTGTACGAAAAGGTGGTGGTGGTGGTTGCCCTCCCGCAGCGCCCTGCCTGCCTGCCTGGAGGGGCTCGGGCACAGCAGAGCCCGTGGGACGTGTGGACATGGCATGCAGTCGGGCTGGGTCCTCTCCTGTGCCCCTTCCAGCGAAACCTTTTGTTGCTGTTGTTCTCTTCTCTCTTTCTCTCCCCCAAGAGTTTCAAAGTACTTTTGATTAGAAACCCGGGACTTTGCCTTTCCATATTTGTTATTTGCTCTCTGGAGGCTGACCAGGCTTTTCCTGATGTTTGCAGGTGATCTTCGGTCCAGAAAGGTGGCAGTACCCCAGATAAGACAGAGATCCTCCAATAAAGGTTTCCTTGCCACTCCCCGGTTGGAACTTGTATTCTGCTCACTGCTGAATACATCTTCTTGGGAAAGGGAAGTGGCCCTGGCTCTCTGACTTCTCCACGTAGCTAAACCCAACTGCAGTGGTGGAGTGCGTTGAGGTGACTGGCCCCTTTACAGCCACCTGGAAGGGTGTGATAACTTGGTCAGTGGCAGGAGATGTAAATTAAGTGGAGGACATACAGGCGCGTTGTTGTGGAAGTGGAGGAAGAGGAGATCTCAATCAGCGCAAGCAGAGTGCAGGAGGCCGTGCAGCACAGGGTCGTGGGGTTGTACTCCTCTCTAGCACAAGGGCAGGCGTTTTTACAGAGTTAATGTGCAGTTTGAATGATTAACCTGTGGACAAGTTGAAGCTAACTCTGTTTTCATTGTCTGCAGCGACTGATGTGCAGCTCCTACAAGTGAGCTCTCATGTTGCTCTCTGATGTCCTTATCCTTGGGCTGCTTAAGTTTCTTTCAAGCATAACCATCTGAACATTATATTTTTTGCTGACACAAATGTGTTAATAATGCAGTGGCAAAACTTCTGTCTCTGTTACAAAAAAAAAAAAGTCAGCATGCAATTTTGCACATGCGCTCCAGCTATTGTAAACTAGGCCTGTGTTGTATTTCTTACAGTAAATTTAGTCCTACAGTTAATTACCTGCATGTGCAGGAACTCCATAAACTTGAATCTGAAGTCAGTTCAGTTTTATTAAACAGTTGTCATCCAAGCAAGAGGAGTAGTTGTAAGGAAGACAATGCTGCCAAATATGAAATCACTGGTAGAGACAGGTGACCTCGTTAACTTTTGGCTGGATCTTGCTGTACAACCATAGCGAAATGAAAAGAAAAAGTACTCAGTGTACAACTAACCAGCAAAGCATAGTCTTTAGTTTATGCACCCACTAAAATAATCTTTGATTTTTTTTAATCTTTCCATGTATTTTTTGTAATTTTCTCTTCCTGTAATGCCACTGCCCAAGAGGTAGGGTTAACTTGTCTGCAAGATTAAGGGAGAACACAGTGGGATGAATGTCTTCAGGGCTGCACTACACGGTCTATTCCAGTTGCAGTTTATTCACCTGGGAAGGCCACTGCCCCCAGTTTATCCACAAGTACTTGTTGCCATCCCCTCCCAGTGATTTCTTTAAATCAGCTGTGGTCAAAATGACCCAGGTTGGAGGTGCAGGGTGTGCCCTGCAGGGGGTGTTTCTAACTGCTTGCTGACTTACTCTGGCACTTTAAGGGAGAAAATCTCCCTGCAATTCAGTCTCCAAGTAAATACACATCTGAAATACTTTAGTACTATTATCTTAAGTAAGTTGCTGTATTGTATTTTAAGTGTAGTACCTTCACTGGTAACAGTAGTCAAAAGCGGTGTGTTAAGCCCTTGCCTTTATCTTTCATGGTTGCTAGCTATACACGCTGCTGCTGTGACTTTACATGTTAGCTTTTGAAGGTTTTGCCTGCTTGCAGCAGCAGCTCTAACAGTAATTCAAATGATTTGCTCCATATCTGGCAGAGCTTTCTGTAACATTATAGGTGTTTGCTAATAGGGACACCTAGTGGTAAAATATCTTTTACTTAAAAAATACTTTATTTCATTTGAATTATTTTCTGTGCTTCTGTTATTTCTTTGTTCAATACCTGATGTCATTATTTATTAAGTGTGTTTTGGATGCCACTGTTAGAGAGCATCTTATTTATTCATGAATGGCAAACTAAACTGTTCTTAAATCATTGCATATAATGCTTCCCCATGTGAATTTTTTCCAGTAAAATAAATACATTTTTGTAAAAAGCCTTAATTAATCCTTTCTTTCTTCTTATTGCTGTTCCTCAGTAGAAGTAGGAGTTTACTTGTTAAAAAGAATAGGTACATCTGAAGCAGATAAAGGCACAGATTTGAATGAACTAGTCAGAGGATCACTAGTCTAATGTACTGGCATTTCTGATATATTTTCAGTGAGGCAATCATATAAAGAAGGTGGATAGGATAAGAACTTTTGCAAGTTTGTCATTCCACAGGGACTGTCTGCGGAAGCATTCTTTTGTACTCAGGTATGTCGTGATGACTGTGAGGGCTGAAAGGAATCTGCCTCTCCTGTTCTGCTCTTAAGGGCACTTGAGTATAATGGACCAGGTGCTTTGTACTTTATCACTTTTCATATGAGCATCAGATGCAACTTTTTAATGCCACTTCAGAACAAAATAGTGAGAAACGTAAATGAGCATTTGCTTTGTAGTGTAAGCTAAGTAGTGTACTCCTTGGGTTTAACTGCAGGGATGCAGGCATCTGCCACATGTTTTTTCTCTTCCCTTCAGATGTAATTTTGATGCAGCAGCTTCAGAAGTCATGGAGAAAGATGTCCCATAACCTTGGGTAGAGGCAGAAAATGACAATTAGGACGTTTAAAGCTCAGCAGATAATGCATCTTGTGCATCCTGAACTTGTGCCTAGGTACAAATCTTTCTTTGGGCAGCTCAGCAGGGAATGGCCTGAACAATGACCCAAGGTCATGTGGCAGATCAACAGTGGAATTGATTGCCAGTTGAAAAAACTACAGTTTTGCTATTTATTTTATTATAAGGGATAAGTCAAGCTTGACCAACCTAATTGCCTTCTATAGTAAAATGACTGGTTATGTTGACAAGGGGAGAGCAGTGGATGTCATTTATTTCAACTTTATCAAGGCTTTTGATGCTATCTCTTGCAAAATTATTGTATCCAAGTTGGGGCATTTGGGTAGGTAGATACCTGAATGGGTAAAAACCTTTGAGGCTGGTACTAGGTAGAGTGATACAGGTGTTTTACCAGGTGCCCATCTTGTTTAACCTTTTTTCAGTAACCTAGAGGAGGTGAGAGACTTGGTGCTCATGAAGATTGTAGACATCACTAAATTGACAAGCTGGCACAAGTTCAGCAGAGGGCTGCCAAGACAGCTTGGACCTGGAGCACCTGACCTGTGAGGAGAGGCTGAGGGAGCTGGGTTGAGTTAAGCTGGTGAGGAGGTAGCTTCAGGGGTACTAACAACAGCCCGCTCATCCCTGTTGAGAGGGCATCAAGAAAGCAGAGACAGGCTCTTCTTGGCTTGCGTGATGAGATGAAATAAGACAACAGACTTGTCCTGAGACAGAGAAGTTCAGACTGGATATGAAGAAAAACTTCATGCAGGACAGTCAGGCAGTGGGGCAGGTTGCCCAGAGTCTGTGCAGTCACCATCCTCGGGGGCTCTCAAAACGCAGTTGGATAAAGTCCTGAGAAACATGGTATGAGCTCAGATTTGGCCCTGCTGTGAGCAGGAGGTTGGATGAAAGACTGGATGATAGAGACCACCCAGCCCAAATCATTCTCTGATTATTTTTTGTTGTGTGTGTATACACACACACACACACACACACACACACACATATATATTCTTTGAATAATGAATAATTAATTACACTTGTTTTGCCAAGTATGTTCTTGGACTATTAAAAAAAATCTATCCATGTTGCTCAGTCCCTCTAGATGAAGGGCCCAGAAATATATTTGTTATGTTTAAATTGATATTTTTAATTATAGTTGGTATTTCTGAGCCATTTACATATGAGAGCTAGCCCACTGGTAAATGGCATTTAGATAATGAAGCATTGCATCCCTTTTCAAGACAGCATAATTCTGTTCTAATATATTAATAGCTGGTTTTAGCTGTACAGTGGTTCTGTTCGTTCACTGTTTCTTCTCTAACACTGTTTGAATCTGCTAGACAGCTGTAATTTGAAAGAAAGATAGATGTCTCAGAAATATCTAAATCACTGGGCAGAATGACCAAAGTAGTTGCTCTGAGGGAAAGGCAGGCACAGCTCAGCAATTATGTGGCTTCTTGTTACAACTTTTTTTTTTTTTTTTTTTTTTTTTTTGGTTTTATCCAAGTAATAATGTCCCGTCTTACTGCATAGTCATAAGGACCAGAACAGGACAGCTGGGCTACTGGGGTAAGGAGAGGTCTCCAAAGGCAGGGTGGAAGCAGAAGACTGAGATCTGCAGGAAAGCAAGCTCCCACTGTTCTGCAGCTTGTGGAGCTGCCAACCTTCTAAGAAAAGGCTCATCAGCAGTTTTCAAAGTGCTTTGGAGGATGCTGTGAGCCGTTTCATCTGATCCATAGCCAAGATGATATGATCTTACCAATGTCGCGAGCCAGTAGAGCTTATTTCTAGTTCAGAGCTCATGCCTTGGTGTCCTCCTTTGTGTACCTGAATGCTGATGACTTGCAGACTGAACTTCTCCCATATAAGAAGGACCTGTCTGAAAATAACATCGGTCTCTGGCAAGAGTTGCTATGGGAAAGTGATTTCAGCTTCTATGTCAAAGAAGCTGAATAACCCCCAAGCCATAAACAGCTTATTTGGTAACAAATCTGTTGTACAATGTGACCTGATCCTGGATTTTTTTCTCTCTCTTCAGTGTTTTTCTTAAACTTTGCATGGCCAGCTGGATTCAGCCCATGTTCAACTGAATACCTCATTTCTCCACTGAAGGTTCAGGACACAGTTTCACATTAGCTTCTCCAGAAATAATAGCTTTCATCGCTTTCTTTACCCATTTTATCATGTGTTCATAGTAAGAGCAGGAGCACACATGCTGTTTCTGGCACAGAAAAGGAAATAAACAGTTGGGGGGGCAGCTTCTTTTGGGGACAGCGCTGCTTTGAAATGCTTGTGAAACTACAGCCTCAGGCATTCTTTAGCTTTCTGTTTCGCCATCTGAAGGGTAACAGCTACACATTTTCCAAAGCTTCTGAAAAGCTTAGTCTTTTTTTTTTTTTTTTTTTTCATGAGGAATATGTTAGATATCTTAGATATTTATGTAATTATACTAATGAAGTGGTTTTATTTATTGTTTTCTGAGGAAATGCTTGGTATTTTTGGAGTCATGTTCTTCAAAGGGAGGAGATGAATTTCCTGTTAAGATGTTGAATATGATTTTTTCAAATGTCTTCAGAGGAAAAAGTAAACTTGAAGAGTGATTACAGAATATTGGCTAATTAGCTATAGTGTAACTGCTTTAATTACTTTTATCCCTGAAGCCACATGACTGTGCAGATGACTAGCAGATGACTTATTTAAAAAAAAAAAAAAAAGACGTGTTCACACTGCAAGGTTAATGAGCCTAATTAAATATAGTTTTTCTTAGCCAGATACTAAATCATAAAGCTTGGGGGAGTGGAGGAGGGGCAGAATCCAAAGGCGGTCAGTTCTATTTCAAATAATGGTTTTATTCTGATTTTTTTTTTAATTGAAAAAAAAAAAAGCTGGCGTTGTAAGTGATTTTTCTGAATAGAGACACTTATATTTAAAAATCTAGCGAGGTCTCACACAGCAAACTTTGAAAGTCTATTTAGAGACAATTACACTGAGACATACTTGTTTTCAGTTGCCCGCTGCTTTAATTAATGGAGAAGTGGGCTTGAATAAAAGATCTGTGTCAGATACGAGTCTCCATCTGCTGCTGCATATTACCAGCACCTTTGTCCTTCTTTGCCTTGCATTCTTTTTATTACAGCGTTTTTATTTCTCTTTGTAAGTTGCCTAATGTTTTGCATGGAGTTCTGATATTCTTTTTTTAAGCTTTTTATTTTTTTTAAGCTGTGCACAGTTTAATGTCCCACATTCAAAAAAGACTCAGGCGTCCAAATTCTGTGGTCTTTCAAGGAAACGAAAATCTCAGACACAAAAATTAGATTGGGTTACCGTGCGTCAGCTACCTTTATGACTGGTCTCGAGATATTAAAAACAGAAGGTAAAATGTATTGCATGGTGAGACTGAAGGGTTTAAGCCAGTGTCTTTCATTGTACTGCAAAGAACCGAGTGTGCATATTGCTGATGAGTTGGCATATGGTGACTTTCTCATGTGATTTCCCACTCTGAGGAGATCAGGTAAAACTAAATTTTACATATGGGGCTTTTTGGTTCTGAACAGAGGTTTTGTTTGTTTGTTTGTTTTGTTTTGTTTTGAATGGACCATAAGAATAAGCATATCATCCTTCAGGTACCCACTCCTTTAAAAGCAGCAATGGGTGAATATGAGTTAACAAATTAGTGGCTTATTTCACTTCCACTATTCTTCCACCTCTTTTTTCACATTGATTGTGAATTTCTTAAACATTACTTCTCCCACCACTGCCCAAAGAGCATTACCCTTGATTATTTCCTTTAACCTAATCTAACGTGCAGGGCTCCATTTCTTGCACAGATTTCTCAGACCTTCTGAGAAGCTATGCCCAAAGGTCAGGTAGGGCTGGATATAGTAACGGCGTGTCTCTAGTAGTCCAGCACAAGATATATTAGATTAAATCCTCTCCAAATAATAAGTAACAAAGTGTTAACCTTCCCATGGAGGCAACTGCTGTTCTATCACTTAAATTCAGGTTTATGCTCCAGTAGCCAAGAGGTTGAAAACTTTCCATATTTAACAGAGTGGATGCTGTCTTTGTATTCTTCCAAACTCTTGTGTATAAGGTAGCTTTTAGAGTAAGTCTGATTTCTTGGCTGTCTTCCGTAAGGTAGAAAGAATGGGTTAGAGTAGATTAACTGAAGCTTCTGGATCCTTATTAGAGAGTTAGAAGCTGAGTTCCTCATGTAAACTGGCTTCTTTGACTTTATCATATTTTCTAAAGGAGCTGAAAGATCACGTATGCTCAGTAGAGTTCAAAAGTTACCATGACAAATTGGAATATGGTTAAATGATTTCACCTGAACACTTGGCACACAGTAGGAGAATCACTACACAGAGTTTGTGTTTCCTTTATTTGTCTATGTATTCATTTATATTTTCCAATGGGCTTTGGCAAGTATCGCCTATGGTGGCCCCATGGGAAGAGTTTTATGTTCTCTGCTGATCACCCAGGAGACTTGACCTTAAAGCAACTGCAGATGTAGCTTATATTTCAGCTGTCCATGTTTGTGGTTTACATTTATTGACATTCAAAAAGAAGGAACGATCTAGCCGTAAGTATTGTAGCTATAGCTCTTCTCAGCTGCATTCTACGTGCCAGATGAGCTGCTTGCATTTGAGACAATGAATTAGCCTGTGGCTTTTCAAACGGAGAGAGTTAATGAGGGTTTGTTGTTACAGAGGTTTGTAACTTCGCTAGCTCCTCCTTTTTCACCATACAATGACTCTGATACTAGAAATCCTAAAATTCCTTCTTTTGTTTACTTCCTCTGGTCGACATTTTGACCCTGCCTGCAGGTACGGCTTATATTATTACTTATAGGTGGTAATAGAAAAGCAGTCGCGAGGTGACTTATAGAACAAGGCTTAGTCCAACTTTTTCATGCCTTTGTCCTGCATTTCAACTGAGTCATCTCTACCGTAAATTGGTTTCTCCAGTGTTTTCTGTAAGTCCCATTAGGAAAACAAGCTTGTATTTACACGTATTTTGGCTGGTGTATTAGTCCTGCGCTTTTCTATGTTACTAAAACTAAAAAACAGGAAGAAAAAACTCAGGACAAGATTTCTGTATGAAATTAATGATTTTGACTAACTGCTTTTTTTTTTTTTTTTTTTTTTAATGCAAGCTTAATACAGCAAGAAAGAATACTCCCACAGATGAGAAGCACTTAATAAATTAATTGATTGATTAATAATTAATCGATTACCCAGAATTATTATCTCTTAATATCTGAACAGGTGTCCATATATAGTCCTTAACTGATGATGGTAATCAATGATTGCCATTGATGGGGCTGATTTATTGATGGTTAGTGGTTGATGATCGTTAATATTGTCTTCAGAGTATATTCATAGTTTTGTTATATGAATAATATTTAGAAGAATTAATTATGTTTTGGAATACGGGAGATTTTTAAAGATGTTCTATTTTCCTTTACCTGTATCCTTCTATGAGCAGGAGGATTTGAGTTTGTTTATTAACATTCAAATTTGCACCTCTAGTTTATCATACTAAGCAGAAATTTCAAGATGCAAGGCCCTGAACTATCAATTCTCCATTATCACTTACCCTTCATTAAGAGGTAACCATTTTTTAGTGCTTCTGGTTTTGGACAGTTTCATTATTATGTAAATGTTGAGCATCCACTTTTCTGTGACTTGGTTATTGTTTATGGATTCTGAAACTCATTGAAATTGTGAGCCAGACTGTCTGCAGCGGGCATCTGAAGAAATTCACAGATGGAAGATGGGGAAACAACTCCCCTGGGGTGCTTGGCAAGGTGAGCACTTCTGAGGCAGGCATACATCTCAGCAGCTTCCAGGCAGATAGATGTGCTGCCCAGGAATTCACTGCATTTGGAGACTTGCAGCTAGCCAGCTCCTAATAGCAAATTCAGTGAAAGTAGCTCTAGACAAAAACAACCTAAATGCATTATTACACAGAGGTCTGTACAGAGTTTTTGGTGCCATGTGGGATAGAGATCCTATAATCAAAGGTACGCACACACGCAATGCCATTGGATCCTGGTTGCAGGCAAACAAGCAAAGGATTGAATAAATGTTACCGTACTCTGGAATCAAGAAGTAAATTAGCAAGCAATGGGAGAAGGCTGTTTGGTGTGTTTTTGTCTACTACATGTGTAATAAACTTCACAGTTCAGGACTGGAAACATAGCATCTCTCACCAGCTTTAAGTTAATTAAGTTTTAACAGCAAAGAAAACATGCTGTGTGAAACATCCAGTTCACAGATGCCCTGACTGAAGTTAGTAGTATGATGTTTTGGACAGTGAGAAGTGTGCAAGCCCTTTAAAGGATATGAAAGCACAACGTGCTCTTCAGAGGACCCAAACAAAGCTACAACTTTCATCCAAATTCCCACGCGGTACATTAAATAACACAGAAATAGATGAGAGACTTTTTTTTCTTTTTCCTCCCACCCCAGAACTTGGCTGGATCTCAAAAGTATATGTGAACCAACCTGCAGTTGTGAGGCATGCAGAACAAATTCAGAAATGGAGAACTGTGAAAGGTAATTGGCAAGTAAGTGCTCTTTTTATGCATTCTGTTCCTGTATTTTTAAAGCAGTCACTCTCCCTCTCTAGGCTGCAATATTGAATTTTGCTCAAGATGCATGTAAACTTAAAAGATGTGCTTGTCCATGTCTTATTTTAATAATTTGTATTTGATGATGATGGGATGGAATAAGGTGACGCGTTTATCCAAACAAGTTAAAAACCTTATAACTCATGAGTGGCAAAACCGCAAATGAATTTCAGTCATCTTTATTCATGAGTGGATTAAATTGTATATTACTATCCCACCACATTTATTCTGTTTCTCAGACAGACTTCTTTGCACACAGCCTTCTTATTTTTTAATTTTAAAGCTGTAAGATATGGTCGTGGTCCCTGTCAAGTTTGACCTACCTGGATGATTGTTGTTTACTTAAACACGCCCAACATGTGTGATTTCTTTGCTTAAATACTGCTTGCCTAAAACTCAAAAATCCGAACTGGCTATGGGACTTGGAAAGTGGGGGGGGTGTAAGGCAGGGAGAAAAAGAAGAAAAGAGGCCACATACATTATGGGGGCTGACTTCTCAACTGCTAAGATACGGTAAACAATCAGTTATTGTCCATCTTACTATAAAATACATTCATGCACGTAAGCGACTTGTAAAGCCAGTGGTGCAAATTAACTTTTGTACAAGGCTGTCTCGTATTCATTGAACACACGTTTAGAGGGGCTTGGCAGTTACCGTCAGCCTCTGCTGCCCTGCTGGCAGAAATGACAGATACTGACCTGGTGCACGTTTTGGCTTCTTCAATTCGTAGATGGGAATCAAAATGCAAAGCTGTCAGTTCAGCAAGGTAAGCAAATGCTGCCAAGCAGAGCAAGCAAGGCATGGCCACGTGCTGGCTTCTGCCGCCTCAGTGACAGCTCTGGCAGGCAGAGTTGGATGCAGGAGTGCCATAAGCACTTTGGCAGTGTTCAGCCAAAGGCAGAGGCTGAGAAATGCCATGGAGTAGACCCAGAGCTCCCAGTGAGCTCTCAGCTGTGGGGCTGTAACTAGTGTCCAAAGGACAAGCTGATTCCAGGTTCACCAAACAACTGTGCTGCAAGCAGAACAAACAAGGAGAAATATTGATAATGCCACTCATTAGAACAAAGGAAGAATCACTTAATTATACCTATTTTTTCAAGAAAATCCTCAAAATAGTTGACATTCTGAGCTTAGTGTGTCAGGCAGCCATTCTGGGTTGGCCGAAGCTACCTTCAGGATGAGCACAAATCTTGTAGACCATGGTTTGGTGACAATTTGAGGGAACTGCATAAGATCCTACTATAAGTTGCTAGAGAGTAACTTCCTGCCTGCTAGATGAACCTGGAAGTCTGTGCTTTGAATGTTATGAGTAAATAAAAAGATGGACATAAGCTGCTAAAGATTGGAGATTAGCTCAGCATTTCCTGAGTTTCCTACTTGATACTAAACTTAGCAATTCAGTGTTTCTGAGTTTGGACATTATACTGTCAGTGAGAAGATCCAGAAGGTATTCTGTAACCTTGGCTATCTTCAGATTAGCCAAGATACATCATTTTAAGATACATGTTTTAAAAATCCCTTTAAAAAAATGAAGTTTGTACCAGTTCATGGAACTCCTGTGCTACACCTGTCTTGATGACTTTATGATTTATGTCATGATAGATGAGACAAAAAATCCTTTGAATGAAGGATAAAAGCATCCAAGGAAGAGATAAATTAAACCATTTAAAGTGAAAAACATTTCTAAAGTATTATAGGGGGAAAGTAGAAATCACTTAGAAGCAAGCAGTCAGGCTTAGACTAACAGAGGCCAGTAACAGCTCATTACTCATTCTACTAACCCTAAAGAAGCTTTTGGTGTAATACTTACTACAAGTTTAGAGAGGAGACTCCCATTAGCAAAGTGGCACAGGTCTGTAGGCTGGCCTGCCTCTTAAGATTTGCGGAGTAATACCTCCATGCAGAAGCAAGAAGTTTTGCTGCAGATATTGACAAATCACGTCATACAGCAGAATGGTCGGTGAGGCATTGCCTGTGATATTGCTGTATAGATTTTGCTACTGCAACCTCTCCCCTTGTTGAACAAGTGCCAACCAAAAGATGTCTACTTTTAGTGAAGCCATTACTGTAAATGAGAATTTACTGGAAGACCTTTAACAAATACTTCAAAACAATGTTTCAAGTTCAATTTTTGTTCAACAACAAAGCTTGAAAATTTTTTGGTTTTGCTTTTGTTCAGTGCTCTGATCAATAAGTCTTTTAATGTTCTGTTGCATTTTCAACTGAACGCTGCCTTAGCCCTGTAATTTAGCTCTTATGCTGTGGTGTTTTTTGTTTTTGTTTGTTTGTTTTTTGTTTTTTTTTTTTCTCCAAATAATTACAATTTATATATATTTTATCTCAGATTCACATAACAGAAAGTGGAAACATCCGGTGTATAGATCCTGTTTTAAGAAACATGGGTTCTTACCTCCCATTGCTTCCATGTTTCACTCTCACAGCAGAACAGACATAAAAATGTGCAAGTGTACAAATTGCTGACATGTACACTGATCTGGTTATTTGTGTTTGCAAACCTGTGCTGCTTCTTAAGCACATGTATAATTTACCATGCATACCAGCTTTAAAGATACAGGCATACTGCATAGCATGAAACATACTGAAACAGTAAGGTTGTTCACATAGGTGATGGTTTTATCCTTGTTTTAGAGAATTAGATTTGAAACTAAATGTTTTTTGTCCAGTTAAAAATGTTGTATGATTCTTAGAGTCCTGTTAGGTAGTTAGCTTTTACACCAAAAAAGCTGACTTCTGATTCCAAATCCTTTCTGTACTATTAGATATTGCTTAAGATGTGAAAATTTATGCCATCCCTGTCTGTCATAAACCATTCTTTGCACATCCTCCATATTATATGCCATACATTTCCTGATTCTTAGAGTGAGAGCTAGGCTTTGGATTCCTGGATCCTTTAAGTCAGTTTGGCTTTGGAAGCATAAACTGAGATACTGTATTCCTTCCTTCACTCTCTTTGCAGGCTGCTTGGCTGCTGAAAGCTGTCACATGTATAGACCTTACCACTCTCTCAGGTGACGATACTCCTTCAAATGTTCACAGAATGTGTTTCAAAGCTAAGCATCCCATCAGAGAGGATCTGCTGAAAGCCATGGATATGCATGATAAAGGTATGGTCATTTTTGTTCTGTTTGTAGAAAAACTGTCTATTTCCTTGATATTTTTTTCAATTTTCAGTAAAGCATGGAGTCAGGGAAACACTTTAAGTTATGGTACATAATGAGCAAATTTGATTTTGAAGCTGTAAGTGGTGTAACTTCAGTGTATGTGTTTTAATAACAGTGCATTAAGGTGTAACTAATTGAGTATTCCATTAATCTGCTGATGTCCTTTCTAAACTGGAGAAGGGAGGATATTCATGTGACTTTGGATTTCACGCTTAGATGATGTTGCTCTGTGTAACTACCAAGTTTGCAAGTCTGCTACTCTGCCTGTTGGAAAAGATGCATTCCACTCTTGTAAGCATGTTATTTCTCCTTCAGAAAGTATTATCTGTTACCTGCTTGTTTGAGTAATTATGATAGGAGACATCTTTGCAGCCCAGTCTGCTTTAAGGAATCAGTCCTTTAGTGAGTGTATATGGTTGTGTGTGTATCATGTATACATGATATGTATGTGGTTGTGTGTGTACCATGTATACACACACAAAGTTCCCAGCTAAGTCAACAGTTGAAAGGAAAGAAGACAGCCCTTACAAACTAGTGGTAAAGCTTTCACTGACATTACTCAAGCAGGCTCTGTCTGAAGTTCAAATGTTACACCCAAGATTGAACCCAATACAAATTCAGAGCAAATGAAGACTCAATAGAAAACCACTTTAAATCTGAGCAGTGCCTCTGAATTTTTCCAGATACAATCGCTGGTGTGTCAGCAAATGCTGTTTGACTTTTGTCCAGCTATGTTGGCCTTATGATGATCTAGCAAAAAGAACGAACTTGGTGACATGCATGGCATGCTTCTACTATTGAAATATTTCAGTTGTTTTATGTGGGCCTTTGTCCACCAATTAGAGTCATATGGTATAAAACCATAATGGGAGATCAGATGTCTGGTTTCTAGCCATATATGTGAAATATCAAAGATAGTCTTTCTAGATTTATGGACTCTTCAGATGGCTGAAAAATTTAATATGAGACCAATTATCTAAGACTTTGAAAGAATAGCATTTTAACTAAAAATGCAGTAGAACTGCATTAACATAAAGACTGCTCAGTTGCTGCTGGGCTCAGTCTGGCTCAACAGGTAAGAATGGAGCTTGGCAACAGTTTCTCTCACAGTATCCTATTGACTGAGAATGTCTTTACTGTATGGCATTAAACAGTGAACCTGTCAATAAAAATCTTGTAGCTTGAACTCCTGCTAATGCAAACTTATTCCCAAGGTCAGGTGAAGAAACATGAATGTGGTAACGATATGCAGAATCACCTGAACTGCATGAACAATAAAACAGATATCCCTAGTGTAGATGTTTAAGGTCCTCGTGAAAATACAAAAGTAGGAGGTACAAACAATACACAAGTGCTTGTTATATGGATTGCACTAGAGAAGGTGGAAATGCACATATGAAGAAGTGAACTGTGTCTCTTGCAGGTATTACCGTTGCAGCAGTTTGTGTATATCCTGCAAGGGTTGCTGATGCTGTTAATTCCTTAAAGGCTGCTGGTTGCAACATACCAGTAGCTTCAGGTAAGTTTTATTTTAAAATTGAAAATTAAATCTTTCTATGCTATAAAATATGTAGAAAAAGCTGGAAGTTTCTATTTGCTTTTCCTTCAGAGAGTAAGGTGGAAGTTAGGTGGAAGGAAAGGAACGGAGAGAAGGATTTGCTTCTGGTAGTTGTTATCTTTTGTTTTGCTTCAACTTCAAGCATATCAGGAATGCCAAGTCTGTTTTGCTGGAAGTTTGTCAGAAAGTCCCTTAAGATACAGAATCATAGAATCACAGAATGGTTTGGGTTGGAAGGAACCTTAAAGATCATCTGGTTCCAACCCCCCTGTCATGGGGAGAGACACCTTCCACTAGACCAGGTTGCTCAAAGCCCTATCCAACCTTGGAACTTCCAGGGATGGGGCATCCACAGCTTCTCGGGGCAGCTTGTTCCCCGACACTGTTCCCCTCACCTGAACAAAAGAAATTGAGATAGTGTGCTGGACAAAGAATCAGTAGACAATAAGTAACTGCTAATAATAATAGAACTACAGTAATCATTTTGGGAGTTCTAATGCAAATTTTGGGTTCTGTGATTTGTTTTGTTTCCCCCATCATTATTACTTTTTTTTTTTGCTTTTAAGTGTAATACTACAAGCTGAATTCAGTGAAGCTGTGTGAAAAGGCAAGGGTTATTGCTTGCTGAGCAGCCTGCAGGTTCAGGACTTCTACTCATAAATCTAATAGCACCAGTTCTTCTCCAGTCACCACATGAGAGACAAGTCCTGAATCTACAATAAGCAAGAAATAGGATCACAGAATTACGCGTGTAGGAAAGAAGCTCTGGGTGTCATCTAGTTAGCCTCCTGCTCAAAGCAGGGGTTAACTTTGAAGTTAGATCAGGTGTTTTATGCTAAGATCCATGTTTTCTGTGCTTTCTTTTAGTTTTTTCATTGTGTAGGGAAAAATAAATACTATATCTATTTGTGTCAGAGAGAATCTCTGACAGCCGTTGTTTCTTGCATTTCCAAATTGACTTTAGCTTTTGTACTTAAACATCATAAAGGAAATCCTAAGTAGGCCACATTAAAAAGTTTTTACCATATTGTGATTTAGCTGTTAAATGTATTACTGGGAGTTAACCTGAAACGCTTCTTAGAAGAATTGGAGAGAATTTTAAAAAGATGTGTTGCTTCATGTATGAGTTCTCTCCTTGTTTGTTCAATTCTGCTGGAGGCCATAGATATTTTACTTGTGTAGGACATTTTGGAAAAATTTAAGGCATGTGAAAGAGACCTTTTTGCAAGAAGTGGTTGTAGTATCTTGCTGGACATCAGTTCCTTGGAGGAAGATAATGCTTATTGTGTATGGAGACAGTAACATGAGCTGCCTTTAGATTTTTGAGTTGTGATAGACATTTAATTTTTAAAAAAGAAAAGCTTTCAAATTCTTTGTTGCATTCTTTAGTGCAAATTTTATGTTGAATTTATGAAACAAACTTTCTTCCTCCTGCCTCCTTGCTAGTGGCTGCTGGGTTTCCATCAGGACAAACTCCTCTAGAAACCAAACTGGCTGAAATAAAGCTAGCTGTGCAATACGGTGCCAGAGAGATCGACATCGTCATTAGCAGGAGCCTGGTGCTGAGTGGCCAGTGGGAAAGTAAGTCTCCTCAGGCAAGGAACCTAAACTTGAATGCGCGCGCGTGTGTGTGTGAGCTCTTTCTTTGTCTCTTCCCCCAGTTTCTACATCAGTGCTTGAATAACTTGGTCCCTCCCCAAAGAGTGGCTGATAATCCAGGGCACTGAGCTGTACAAAACCAGTGTTAATGACAAATGGTCAGAATTTTTGAAAATAATGTTGTTACAAGTTTTGTCAGGTTGGGCATTCAGAATGACCTCATGTTTTGAAAATTCAGGTCCATTTCTGCTATGCCTTTGAGGATTTTGCATGTAGGAATCAAAAAAAAAAAAGCAAGTGAAATGGAAAAAAAGTGAATGCTACAGTCTTTGAACTGTTTTGTTACCCTCCCCTCCCCAAAGGGCTGAGACTAAATATCTTGTTAAATATACATATTTCAATATTTGACCAAAAATATGTATTTTAGTGGTTTTCTCTGAAAGTTGAGGGTACATATTGACTGTTCATATTATTTTGATGTTCCTGTTCTGTAGACTACAACTAATTAGTTAGAACAATAATGCAGAAGATGTTTTTTTCTCTAATTGCATCCTTAATGTACTGTGAATGGTTTGCCTTAAGTGCTGACAATGCTTCTACAACTAATCTCAGTGTGAAGGTAAACACATCATTGTCTTGGAATGAATTTTCCGTTTAGTTGTATAATGCAGTACTGTAATAGCCTGTGTGATTGGAAGACTCCATAAAGGACACGTGGTACATGGGTTTGGTTAAGGAAATGCAGTCATCATGGTAACAGATATTTTCTGATTTTGGTCTTCTTTCAGTTAGCAGTTAGAATTGAACAAAAAAGCAAGTTACTGCATCTGTGTCTTTAAGACTGATATCCTGGTTTCCACTCACTCTAACATGTTGACCTCTTTCATATCTATCATCTCTATCCCTTTGCCCATAAATACATGTAGCTTTACAAATGTTTGGCTTCTTGAGGACAGGCGTTTTCAGTCATTTGTTTCTTTTAGAGCATTTATTTTAAGTTCAGGTACAGCCTCAGAAACTTCTGGAAGGTGGAGACTAGCTGACTGAGCAGTTTTAAGCAAGACATAACAATGGTTCAAATTCTGTGTCAGCTAGCAGGAAGGTTGTACGTACATCTTCCTGTGGTGTGCCTATATCTTGTAGTGGTCCATACTCGCAGTTCCAAGCATGTTTCTGCTCCAGGAGATGCCCTCCAGTGGGGACACTTACAGAGGAGGTACAAAATGACCACAGTCAATGATCTTTGAGCAAGACTGAAAAAAGACCAGAAAACTGGACTTGAACATCAACTTGAACTTGTGTCTGATAAAGTCTGCCAGCACTTGTTTTACAGAAATTTCTGACGAAACTGTGGTCACCATGCTTCAGACTTTGAGGTACTAACTGCTGTTAAGTGCAAGTAACACAGAGCAGAGGTCATAAAGTTAGTGCATACAGTCAATTGCAAATGCAGGCTCTAGGCTGGATCCGTTTAATGTGTAAAATTGAAAAAGAATGTCTAGTGCTGTAGCTATGACTGGATTCAAGGTACTTTGTAAACTCTAGCTGCCTTGCAGTTATGGCAAATTGTTTGCTTATACTTAAAACACTAGTTAGTATACTGTTATGGTTATTTTCTCATGTTGTCATTCTTTGGAACATCAGGTACTATTGACAAGAATATTCAACTGGTAGAGTGCTTTATCTTACTGTTCGTATATTTCTACGTGCTGTTCTAATCTGTGCCATAATTGGGGTAGCCATGATAGAATAGTGTTGCTTTGTGATTTGTTTCAAAAGCTTGTGTGGCTATTAAATATTATAGTGTACATTCAATTATATCAACTTTTTTAAAGCAGTTCTTCTTATTATTGGGGCTCTTTATGAAATTCAGGACATATTTTTTAGGTCTGTTCTTTATGAGGTAGTTGTTAAGAGGTTTTTAATGGTGCTGAACATGACAACAGCTTTATTGGGCAGCTAGTTTAGGTTGGAAAATAACCATAAATGAGATTTAAGTTTATGAGCTTATATGTACATACCTTTTACAAGCTATTAGCTTTTAGAGCAATAATATTTTACAATAGTTTTCTCAACCATTGTCTTGTATTACTTGACAAAGTATGAATTAAGATTAAAAAATCAGAATTTAGATAGTGTCTTTAACCACAGGATGTGTAGGCTGTATGTAAAGTGTGATGAAGTTGACCAACAAATTACTGAAAGAAACTGGTATGTTTCTTTCAGTAATTTCAACTCCAACATATGTGTACATATGTTGGAGTTGCTGTACTTTCAAAACTGTCGGAGTTGCCCCAGTGTTACTTCTAGTTCCACGGTTTTTAGCAAACAACTGGACATACCACAAGTGTCAGTGGTGTCAGTGGCTTCCAAATTCTTGCTAACCATTGATAACGGTTTATATTTGCTCTGTGTCAATCAAAGTTTCATACAAAAAAAGGAACAAAGGAAGTATACACGAAGAAGTTTTAGCATGGCTGCATCCATGAAATAGATAGATATAACCCCTTTCTGAAGGTTGCCTTTCAATCCTTGCTAATAACTATTCAATCATGAGTTCAGAGGTTTTGTTCAGGAACTGGGGCACCTTCTGTGCTGTATACTCTATAAACTACACAGAAAAAATACACTGCCTGATCCAGAGGCTTGAAAAGGATTGCACATGTTGTTCTGAAATACTATAGTTGGATTTACTATTTTCTAGATTTGTAAGCTGATTTGGGACCTCAAAGTCTATTTGCACAATTTCTTTCTTACATTGTCAGCAGCAGCTCAGACTCTTGAAGCCAAATCCTGTTTTCAGTTTCATGTGAATCACTGGAGCCTGGAGTTGCACATATGTGGCTGAGAGCAGAACTGATAGAGTCGTGTTGTGCTGATAGCCTTGCGCTTGTCATTTTGTTAACAAACCTGCCATTAATGTGCAAGACAGAAGGGATTCCAGCTCATTTTCCAGTTTCCTAACATGATTACCTTGATCTTTGGTCTAACAGAAATTGAAACATCTTCCCTTCTTATCTCAGTTTCTACCCTTAACATCAGTCAATGTGACTGACTAGTTGAAAACAACAAATAAAATGAATTAAAAAGAAAAAAAAAGTGCCTTTATTACCAGTTTTGGAGAAGAGCTGTTTCATAAAAATTGAAGCTGTTTTTTTTTCTTCCTTTAACATTTTCATGTTCTGTGTAGAAGATACGGATTATTCCCTTTATTGTGTGACTTTAGAACAAATGTATTAGACCAAAGAGGGAAGACCACATAGATAATTTGGGGCAGATTATAGCTAACATTAATTGGTAAAGGTGCTTGCTTGAAAGAAATGAAGTGAGACGCATATTTTCTCTGGTGTACTTAATAGCTGCTAAATATCAATAGAATGCTTTTACTTAATAGTTGGAAATACAGGAAAACTTACCAAAAAAAAAAAAAATTGATTTTAATTCTGCTGTTGTCTTCTCCAACAGAAGAATTAAAACCAGAGCTATGAAATTATTTTTTCTTTCCTATCAAATCTGTTTTGTTTTGTTTTTTAATCTAAATTCTATGAATTCATAAAATAAAAGCAGATTTAAAGTTAATAAAAACAGTAAGATACGTTAAATAAATGGGTGCAAAGTAGAAATATTCTTGTCATGTATTTTTAACTGCTAAATCAGCGGAGATATTTCACGCTGCATCAGCGATCATCTGACCCTAAATATATATTATACATGTAAGTTGGCTTCCTTTGTGTGTGGTTTTATTTTGTTTTTGTTTTGGTTTGCTTTCTCTGTGTGTGTGTGTGTTTGGTTTTGTGGTTTTTTTTTGGTTTTGTTTTCCTGGTTAAGACTTAGACTTCATTTAATATGGATAGTGTTAATGCCATATTCAAGATACTACACAGTATTGACCATTTGGTTTGAGAGCTCTTGATTATTTTCCACTCTTTTTAACAGACAGAGGAAGAATCGCTTGCAACCCTTTGATGGTGGTCTTAGCTCACAGTTGAATATATATGCCTGCGTGGTTTTCTGTGATAAGGATTTATCCTAAAAGCTTTCTGACACTACAGCAGACACTACTGACACTACAGAGCAGCTCCATCTGCTGTGCCAGCTACTACTGGTGTTCTGCACAGGTCCAAGAACCAGTGTCCAGTGCTTCTCCTGCACTGAGCTAGAAGGAACCGAGTAGTTACATGGTTTGTTTTTGGCAGCCTCGACTGTCCTGCAGGCAGCCCAGGACTTCTTGAAACAGTGAGTGCATATTCAAGTGTGATTAACTCCAACCACACTTCAGATGTTTGACGGGAAATTTCAGGATGATCAAGTTATCAGTGTTTTGCTTTAAATCTGACTGAGTACTGAAACTTTTTATTTTTGAAGAGAGTAGGAGTTTTTGCACTTGTTCAGTATCAAAGCAGTCACTCTTTGACCTGGGACTAGGATTCGCAGTCTGCTTAATTTTCTGTGTCCCAGAGGTAGTTGCATTTCTATTTCTGCTTTTACAGTAAGGCTGAGGATGTCCTATAGGTGCCAGATATTGTTTGCAATAATTGGTCTGTGAATAGAGAACAGTATTTATTACCTACACACCGGCCCCATTAAAACATACCTACTGTTCTACCACCTCGTCTAACCTGATAGACACAGATGATTGAAGATCCTGAGTTGTTACCGTCTGTGGGTTGATGCATGCTGTCAGACAGTTAGACTCTTCAAATGATCTTGGCACTAATTGCATATAAAAGTACTTTCCAACAATAGGGAGAGTTTAGCAGCTGCAGTACTAACTTCAGTGAAAAACAGTTAGGGGGATATAATTCCTTTTCATGGAATCCAACCTAAATGTACATTTTGTTGATTTTGTTTTGACATTTTTTTGGCAGTGTATCTTAAAGGTAGAGAAAACTTGAATCTTTTCTTGTTGTTACCATAACTAGAACATGAAAGCCGCTTTTTCTGGCTTTCCGAAGGCTTTGGGAAAGAGTCATTCCACAAAAAGAGACTGCATTTGGATCTAACATGAGCAGTGTTATCAAATGCACAAGAAAATAGCACAGGTTCTTTGTATTTCCTTTTTGAGACTTGATTTGATGTAGAAGGTTTCTGGAGTATCATCAATTGATCAATAAAACATGTTAGACTGCATGCTAGTACTGATTAATTCACACCTTTGGTACACACTGAGAAACAAGGTGAAACCTGGTGTCTATAAAGGGACTTGCTAAGTGCATTAGCCAGTTGTCTACTAATGTGTGTAGCGTGTCTCGGTGGACCACCGCAGTGATCCCAGCCCCAGCTGCCTGGTGTGCCAGCAGCATCAATAGCATTCGGCAGCATAGCGGGTGGAGGGGAGGTCCAGCCATGCAGCAGGATGGTGAATCTTCCTGTATGGCTCCAGGTCCTGCTTGAGGATTGAGGGGAAAAGAAAGCCGGCATTGCTGAAAAAAATTGGTCACGGACATTTTTTAGCAAGACGGATTTGTTAAAAGCCATGTTTTTACCTCCTATAAATTAACTTTTTAATTTATTTTTTTGTGTGTTTGAAGATTAAGTATAGCTTGTATAAAGCACTCTCTTACAAAGGATCCTGTTTGCTTGTTTTATATCTTTTTTTTTTCTTCTTTTTTTTCTAATTCAGATTCTGGAAATGTTGACTGTACACTGTAAGAGCTGCATTTGCCCACCACTAACACTAATCATCCCCAAGTGGTCAGCTTCTAGCACTCACATTTCAATTACTTCTAGCTCCTTTAATCTTCCTGTGCTTACAGTTTTGTGGGGAGAACAGTTGATTTTTGCTAAAAAGGGTGGGAGGGTTTTCCTGTGCTCCCCACGTTGCATTTCCTGACCAGGTATGCAAGTTCTAAACTTTTTTGAAAAAATGCAGTAAACCCATGTCCTCGGTCACCCCCGGGCAGTGCAGTGACCTGAGATGGTTCGTGAACACCGAGCTGTGCAGTCGCTGATCCATGAAGGTGCTATCTCAGGCCTCAGGCTCTCCTCACCAGGCGTGTTAGCAGCCTGTGTTGATTAGGCTGCATATTTTCAGGAAACTCATATTTTCAAGAAGCTTCTGTGGGATTCGGGTACCTAAACACAGGCATCGAAGTCCCTGACCGACCCTGAGACTGCCCCATGGTTCCGGGAGGTACAACAGGACCTAATGCAGATGTGGTGCCTCCAGGAGCAGCAGCTGGAAGCCAGAGGGGGATAGGTCAGGGCATCTCGAGTGGCACTGAGGTCCGTAATTAGACAACTCGGTCACACCTTTGTTGTCTTGTAGGCTGAGCCCTTTGGTATGGATGGCTGAAGGGGGCAGGGAGCATGGTGTCATGATGTGCACAGGAAAGCGTAACCGTCTCTGAGTACTGATTCAGTTTAGTACTGAATTTATTGCTGAAAAAGCTGTTTTAAAATCAATCTTGAATATCATAGCATTTTTTTTTCTCTCCTGATGTATTCATGAGTGTTTGGCATACTGTGCACATTCTTAGTTTTGAGAGAAACGACATTAATAGCTATTAAGTTAAGTCTGAAACTGTGTGGCATTGTTAATTACCTCCAGTCATGTAATTTATTGAACTTACAAAACTTAAGTTCTTGAGTGCTATGACTAATTATAAGATTGGAAATTAATCCAGAAGTGGAAATTACAGCCATACTTGAAAATGTCTCTCAGCCAACTTTGATCATTTTCAAATGCTTTTATCCACAGGTCTCTATGAGGAGATCCGCCAGTGCCGTGAGGCCTGTGGAGAAGCTCACATGAAAACAATCCTAGCGACGGGTGAACTGGGGTCCCTTGCTAATGTCTACAAAGCCAGCATGATAGCTATGATGGCAGGTAAATATATGTGTGTTCTTCTTTTTAAGCTAAGAATGTCTTTGCTATATTATTCATGAAGCCTAAAAAATTCTAGTCGTGAAAGTTTAGTTTTGCCTATAGTCGGCAAAAACTATTATGCAGCAATTACTGAAGTTGCAGGTGTAGTAATGAAGTGTCACTTGTTTTGTATAACCTACAAAAACGGCATGAAATGTTAAATAACACTTAAAACTGCTAAACGACAAGATTTGTAGGAAAAATAATGTTGTCAAATGTCTGATCCGTGGGATGTTTAATAAGGGCACATACATTTGAGGTAGATTTTCCAGGTAGTGTTGGTGAGCATACAGATGTAGGGTGGTAGGCAGGTGGCTTGTGAACCTATTTTAAATGCATTGGGAATTTCTCTGTGAAGATTCCACTGAAAACTCCCCTTCTTGTTTGTGATCACTTCTAACTACCTCTGTGAGAGTGTGATTTGGGTACCCAACTATGCTGGAAATGCAGCAAGGGGAAGAACACCACGTGCTACAGCAGGTGTGGGAATGTGCTAGGTTATAACCGGACCACTCAAGATCGGGGCACTCACTATTAATTGGTGTTCAGCCTTCCCTGCCTTTGAAAACTAAATTACATCTCTTGATGTTTAGGAGCATGCCTGTATTTTATGCTGAACCTTTCAGCTAAGAAACACATTCCCGTGAGCAGGATGGAGTTTCTAGGGGCTGTATATAGGTTGTAGGTCTTACTTTTTGCATAGCTGTAGCCATTGCAGACTCTGAATGGAACAAAGCACCCACCTGAGCCTAGGTTTATAGCAGTATATTCCTCTGCAACTTTGGACCAGTGCTGGTACAATTTTACTTAGTTTAAACAAGATTTCAGGGCTGTAGTCTAATACAGTTTTTTCACTGTAAAGATGCAAAGATCCAAGATGCAAAATGTTCTTTGGATGCCATTCTAAAGGCCTGCTTCTTCCACCACATTTGAAATAGGGTACCTCATGAATATTGACAGAGAGAAATGTAAAGAAGTGCTAAGAACCACTGGGTTAGTCTGTCTTCTAACTAAATTTTCCCTCTTTTTTTGCATTGATTTTTTTTCCTAGTGTAAGCTCTTCAGACCTAGGATTTATTCTTATTTTAGAACAAGAAAAGTCATCTGAGTGTTTTTCCAGTATTTAAATAAATATTCAACTTGCTGCTGACCTCACTGTCTCCTTCCACAACACTATGCTTATCTACTTCAAATGGAATGGGAGGCATTTTTTACTGCTATGTCAATTAGTATCCTTAGGTACAGAGTATCAGTATTATGCTAGCAAATACTGCTTATAATTAGAAGAGGTATAAGAAAAATATTTCCTGTCATTTAAACTGATATACTAATAATTATCATCACTTTTTGTAACGTACGGTACTGATGAATTCAGTTTGTAAAGCATTAGAATGTTTTCAGATTTTTTGCTGGTGTAATTTTCTCGAAATACAGCAGATGGCCCTGTTGTTAATGATTTTTCCTTGCATAGTTACTCATTTTATAAGATACTTATCTGTATAGCATTTGCAGTAATTTTCTTATTTCAGTCTCTTGCTTTTTCTTTGTAAGTGTAAAAATAAGAATGTATTTTTGTTCTACACATATGTATTGAAGGCCAGATTTTCAGATTCTGACTTGTCAGAACTGCTGAGAAACTCAAATTCCAGATGAAGTTTGTTTGATATGCATATGTGTAATATTTTGGGGAGAAAGTAATTTGGCATGGTAGGTTTAGTTTCTAGCTTTAGTGTCCATATATTTTTATAGCTGCTGTTATGATCTAAAAGAAAGAAAGAAAGGAAAAATGCAGCTGATCTAGTGGATATGTCAGGTCCAGGGAACTTTCATATGAATGTAAAAAAGAACACCTCTGATAACCCTGAATCTAGTGATTAATTTTATGTGGAGAAATTAGTTATGTAGCATATTGGATTCAAATGCAAAACTTACTTCAGAAGTTCTTGCTACCTCTGGCCACTTGTTCCTGTACTTGCCTGCAAATTTGCTGCTCCTTCAGCTATGGTGTTAGAAGTGCTCATTGTGCTGCACAGTAAACTGAGTTATCAAAGAAATGCTGATACAAATTACGTCAGAAAGGGGTAACTAGCTTTGATTGTTTTTGTTTGTTTTTCTAATTGCCACCCCCTCAACAATTTGGTTTACTGACCTGCCTTGTATACAGTTGTATCCGTGCAGCTGAGGACATGGCTTGTAATCCTTAAACTGTTTTCACTGTGCAGCACATAATGCAAGTCTATCGTGTAGGGAGCACAAAATCCTATCTGTGCTGATATTTACATTACTGTTGCTGGGCATGCACACTCTCACCTAGGTCCTGAAGCACTGATCTGTGTTGTAACATTTATTAAAATACATATTTTTTTTCCCATCTGTCTCATTTGTGAGACTCAGAAGGTTGGGGACAGGAAGGTGTCACAGTGCTGATTTAGCACTAGCTCCATGGTTAAAAAGCTTCCCTGGGATGTCTGGCACCTGGGCACTCCGTGGTTGTTCTCACACACAAAGGTGAATTTTACAGTGTATTTGCCATTAAGGTTTTCAGTCCCTCCTGATAAAGTTGCTCTGCTTTGCACAAAGCAATTAACTGAGCAGGGAATGCAATGCAGATGTCTCCTCTCCTGAGTAACTTTTCAAAATTTGTGTACAGGCTTCCTTATGCTGATTTAAGGAATGATGGGTGTGTGCTGGGAAGAACAGCATGTTATATTTAGTCTGATTCAGGTAGCAAGTGGGGCTTCAGCCACTGGAGAAGCCAGCTGCACAGATGATTCTATAACTGACTTGAAAAAGTATGGCAAAAGGTAAAAGGTGTGCCCCTCCACTGGGGTTTTTAAGATAATGCTATGATTTTAAGATAACAGTAAGGGCCACGCTCAGGCTGGGGCAGTGTGCCTGCACACGTCTGTGCTTAAAAGTGATAGCATAGGCCACGTCTGTAGCTGTACTCTGAAGCCCAGTCCTTGCAGGACTTGGTGGAAATCATTCACTGCACCCCGGTGAGCTCCTGAGCCCAGCAAGACATACAGATCCCAGCCATGCACTGGTGGCAGGGGTCAGCTGTAGAAAACATGCTTTGTACAACATGCCTGTGTATAAGTTGCTAATCCTTGCACCTGCCAGAACTTTTTGGGGAAAAAGTGTGGCTTCACAGCGAATACAGTAATAACCCGCATCTATTTGAAGTAAATATAATCATTTGCCTCTATTAGGCTCCTCCCGTGTCTGAAATCATATCTCTGAAGTACCATGTCTACTTTTTCTTCCTTCTCTAGAGCAGTACGTAGGGAGAAGGACATCAGAATGGAAACAGGCACCCAGTTCTCTTAAATTCTTCTAACCAACCCTTTACCAACTTGACAGACGTGCTAAAAATTCTTCTGGAATATTTAAGTATCTATTTCTGAGTGCTGCTGGAAGAGGCTGACAGCCCTCTAAGGACAGTGAGTCAGCTGGCAAGAATAATTCTTGCAGTGCTAAGGAGGAGATAGTGGAGAAGGTAAGGACTGCACATCCGTGGCTCTGTGTGACTACCAAAGTAGTACATTTTTTTCAGAACGCTGACTGAGATCAGTTCTTAGCAATGAATCGGGGATTTTTTTGGTCATTTTGTGTAATGTGCACTGCCACTATTTGAGCTTCTTGAGGTGTTGATGGTGAGTCTGAGTGCTTGAGCTTCCCAAGGGTAACTCACTGCATCTTCGATTCTACCAGAAAGTTTTCAGACACTGAGCAGAGCAAACTAATCAGTAGTTTTCAATGTCTTGTGTACACTTGTGTGAGTCAGGTTCATTTCTACAGAAAACACTCAAATCTGCATCTTTGGAGCCTCTTTGAAGAAACAGTTCAGAGGAACACAAATGGGAGTGCCTGGTTCCCCAGTACCAGTGGGATCTACGTGTATACTATGTTTCTTCACCTTGGTGCCTTAAAAAAAAAAAAAAAAAAAAAAAGAGAGAGAGAAAAAAAAGGAAATAAAAAACAGGTCTTGTACACAGTTTTATTATTGCAGAGAGGCCTTTATGTTTGTGTCGGAAAAAAAAAAAAGACCGCCAAAGAAGTCAGACAAGGAGGGGGAAGATGATAAGTTTGAAGTGGGAAGGGAAAGGTTCAGTAAAGATGTGGATGACTGAATTGCATATTTCAGTTTATATATAAGGTTTGTATTTTGGAAAATGATGTTTTAACCAAATTACCTAATTATAAAAACTTAATTGTTTTATATAAGAATTTTTATTCATTAAGGTACACAAATGGAGGAGAGGTGGCGGAAGTAACGAAATAAATATACTTTGCATTAAAAGTGAAAACTTCCTCTGTCATTTTTAGCTGTCAAAGCTGGTCTCCACAGTACATCTCACTTTACCTCATTCTTTGGGAAGCTGATGGAAATACAACAGTGACATATGAAAGATATTTGTTTTCATTATAAATAACTAAACAAGTACCTATGTAAAGATCAGGAAGGAGTGATGTATACTCTTCTGCAGCTCTACTAAACATATGGGTTTCAAATAATTTTTTGTAGGTCATTAAGCAGTTACTCAAATAAGTGGAGATACTGAGTCTTATAAAAATTGAATTTAGAAAGGGAATGAATTATTGCTAAAGCAAACTAATGTCTAGAGTCTCTAGCACAAAGAAGCCTGTAAAAAGTATCGAGAGATGGTTGAAGCAACCTTCTTTAGAAGAAGAAAATTAAAACATGGAATCTGCCCACAGAAATTGGTAGATCCTGTGATACTGTTAATTCCAAAGTGAGCAGAAATAATAGAGCTAAACGGTGAAGAAACAATGTGCTTTGCAGTTCTTAGGAGAACCCGCTATCAGTCCTGCCGAGCTTCAACCTACCTTATTGCAGTGGTTCCAGTTAGTACACGCTCATTTCCATAAATCATTTTCACAAATAAGCTGGCTTTGCTTAGATCCAGGGAGAGACTGGCTGAGGGCTGTCATACTCA